GGACTTATAATTTGGAAACTGCTGCTGAGAGAACTAATAAAGAATATTTATCAAGAAAGTAACAATTTAAATACCTTAGAATGATCGGTATGATAGTGATTCAAAAATCAGATTAAAAGAAGCACTGGAGATTTTGGCCAAATTACTCAACAAATTCTTAATAAACATACCATGTGCTTGCTAAGTGACTTAGCAATAGTTGACAAGATCAGGGACCTGGCTGAGGGAAGACTGTGTGTCAGAGGACTGGTGAGATGGCTTGGAGACCGAGAGTGCATCCTGCTCTCAGAGGAGCTGAGTCCAGTTCCCAGAACTCAAGTAGGGCTGCCCACAACTGCCCTTACTCCATTTCCAGGGACTGAACACTCTTCTGGCCTCTGCAAGTACCTGCACTCACATACCATGTACACATAATAAAAATAAAAACAAAATCTTAACAAAAGAAAACAACAACAACAAAAACCCCCTAGAAATTGTGAAGCCAAGTGTGGGTAACACTGGACTTCCTTCCAATGGCTCACTTTAGTATGTTTTAGCTTGTATGACAGTAAGACAGCACTATGCACTGAATATTGACTTTTGATATTTTCTCTGGGTAGCAACATGCTATACAATAATCTCTCTTGTATTCAGGCAGTGAACTTTAGTTCTTAGTCATGGGATACACAGCATACTACACTGCCTAACTATGATGAGTGAGCAGGATATTAAGCATATCAAATGTGCTTATTTTTATTAAATTTTTTTTATTTATTTTAGATTCTGATTTAGTTTGCCCTCCGTCCTCTCCAGCCATTCCCTCCCACTCTTAAGTTATAATATCTTCAATTACAATGTGTTTCTTAGGATATATTCCTATAAAAAACATTGTTTTATTTTTTGTAATATTTTAACATTCTGATACATCTAGGTAGAATGTTATTTTATTTTCAATGGAACAAACAAAAGTTTAAAAATATAAAGCTCCAAGAAAAACCATTATAGAAAATACAATATAAAAGGTTTTACAGTATAATAAAAGCAGTTAAGTCTTTTACTTACATATATCCGTGGGTGCAGTGGCCACATGAGACTCATCAGACCCTGAAGACCCTGCAGTTGAAAAGGCTTTTGGATTGATAACTCTTCTCACTAAAGAACAGAATCCAGGCAGATAGGAAACCAGTCTGGCCCTGTTACAGAGCACCTAGTAACAACAGAAATCAACAGATTTGGAGACAAATAATAAATTCTGACAAGCCTTCATACTGTGTTTCATCTTTGTATGTGTGCGCACACACATATGGTGTATGATATAAATTACACAGCCTCTCTAATTTTAAATTAAAAGCCCTGGACCCTTGGCTTCCTCTGGTGCTACAGGTGTGTACTGTATGTGCTCAGAAGGCTGGAGGATGCTCCATCACTCTCCACCTCAGTCTCTCACTGGGCCTGCAGCTACTGTGCTGGCCATCAAGTCCCAGGAGTCTTCCTGTCTCTACCTTCTCCATGGTGGTAGGGTTATAAGCATGTACTGCTATGTTTGCAATTTTACGTGCTGTGAACGCAAATTTAGGGTCTCGTGTTTATGCAGTAAGCTAATTCATCCCATTGTGTTCTATCTTTTAAAAACAACGCACATCACTTTACTATCTCTGTGGACCATCTACTAGGTGACAGACTGTGTGCTTACAATTAAAAAAAAAAAAACAACCCACTATGAGACTTCTCAGAATTAAAGTGGGGGCCAAGTATGCCAAACCCTAACAAGGAGGCCATGCTAAGAAGCAGGGAGAATGTTTACCTGATAAATGGAACTGTTACAGAGAGACTACCCAAACCAGAACCTTGCAAAGGCCACTGTAGAAACACGTCTATGAGGATGCCTAGCCAGTAACTGCCTGTCCACCTTTGGACTGATGTCACCTGGTGTTGATCCACAGCGCCAAGAGCAATCCAACAAATTATGCAACCTGTCATATTAGAAAACCCTTGACCCTTGGCTTCCGCCTGGGTTGCTTATGGCCATGCTTGGCCTGCCGTGAGTCCTGCAATCACTATTGCTCCCAAATAAACTCTGTTCTTCAGATTCACCTCACAGCACAGCACTACATGAACAGACAATGTGCTGCTTTGGGATAAATGGGTATGTTTTTTCAATAAAGGTCAAAAGATGAATCCATGAAGGCTGCCTTATTAATAAATACTACAAATGTAGAGTGACTGGAAAGATTCTGCTGTCCTTAAACCAAAGACTTCAGGACTTTTCCTTGGACCCTCATGTTTCCTTTCTGATCCCTTTCTTCTTCAGCTGCTGCAGACCATGCTACTACTTCCCATTCGATTACTTCCTCTTGGTTTAAAAGCAATGTTCACTTTCCTTAATTTAGCATATCTTTGTGGTATATTTTCTGATCTTACATTTATTTCCCAGACTGAGTTAAAAATCGATGAATATGTAAATATGGAGGTACGGCTAGACTTTAGCAGCATACTTAGGTTAGAATAGTTTAATGCGGAAGATGCAAATGATTTCCCAATATGGCTAATTGTTGGGAAATAGTTTTGTAACACAGGCACAGTCTTTCATTTGTGTGCTGTGCATGACTGCTTGCACACTGTGACATCAGCATTAACCTACAGCTCACAAAGCTTCAAGGATTTGCTGGCTGGCTATTTACATTTAAAAAATGTCCACATCATCTGACTTGGATTATCAGGCATGAGTTATCATACACAGTCATGAATGTCTGTGTTTCAGGGCTTAGACGAACTCAATGGTTTTCACATGAAAGAGGAGGTCTACAGTTGGTTCCAGCTATTTGTGGCTGACTGATCCCATCCTAGTCCAGACTCCATTGCTGCAGCACCTTCTGCACTTTCCAGGTAAGCAGATGTGTCTCTTCACGGAGAAGCATGCGACTTGGGAAATTTGATTAAAACTTTATGAGCTTCAGGAAAAAAGACTAAAGTAGGTATACCAGAGGAGTGGCAAGTTAGTGCTAAGTCATGGGCATTTTTATAACTCTGGATGTTTATGAATGTTTCACACTAACGTCTGCCCTGAATTTACTTATGACACATAAACCGACACAAAACCCTTACGGCTGACATCTGAACAGTAGAATTTCAATGTATTCACTATAAACTTCATTCTAACAAAGGACTTTTATCTTCCAATAAATTCATCCTATGGATTCATTTAAAATGAAGTCAGTGTAAATATTAGCATTCTATTCTATTCAGTCTCAACTTCCGTCCATAGGCCACTTTCGTATCACACCCATTCAGGGCGGGCTATGGCTCGGGAAAAACTCACCCGAGAACCTTCCCTCAGACTGGTAGTCTGCTCTTCACATCTGTCCCTACAGTCACACCCCCAAACACCTGGCAGTAACAGGAATGCCACCTCACTAACTGCTGCCACATTTACTCTCTCTGGTTAAACTACAACTTGAAGGTAAGCCACTGAGTGCGGCGCTCAGGATTCCCTGACATTCCACTGTCTCCTGATCCACCTTCACCTCCTACGTGCCCACCTGACTTTCAGGCAGGCAGACATGATACCCTAACATTTAAAGGGCACAGGGAAGAGTTTTTGTATTATAGCGCCTGGCCTTCTAATTCAAACCTTTGATGATCTAAGTTTCACTTAGCTCTCAAAACACAAGGTAAACATTTTTCCCACTAGGTGACCCCAAAGTCCCATTTTCTCTATGCACAGATCTCGCACTGCATCTTCTTCAAGCTTTCCAAAAAAAAAAAAAAAAAACTACTTAAAAATTGGTGTGTGCGCGTGCACACAAGTGTCTTCCGGCATGTGTGTGCACATATGTGTGCCTGGGGTCTGATGAGGCCAGAAGGCGGCACTGAATCCCCAGAACTGGAGTCACAGAGGGTTGTGACCTGTCTCGTGCCTGGGTCCTCTGCAAGAGCAGCCTGGGCTCCTAACAGCCCTCTTTTCAGCCCCTAGCATGTGTTACTTCTAATAAAAATCTTCATCTATTTCTTATGCCCTTTATCTATGTTCTAAGGGTGTGTATAGTATCTGGGTATCTACACTCATGTCTGTGAGCATGAATAAGGTAGGGTGTGTATAGTATCTGGGCACTTACACTCACGTCTGTGAGCGTGAATAAGAACTTTTCCTTTACTTCTGTAGAAACTGAAAGGTCACTTCCTATTCTGATAACTTCAAAACGTAAGGTTAACCAAAGGTTTTTGTTGTTTGTTTTTGGTAATGGGCTTACAACATTCTAAATATTTGCTGACATGACTTTTAGAAGTCATGCATTGAGTTTTAAGTCTATAAAATATGAAACTGGAGGAACGAACACACGAGAATTTAACAGAATGTTTGAGCCAAACTACTTTTAAATCATAAAAACTTAACTTCACACCCTCTGCTCCCCACTGCTGATGTATTAAGGCGACCATTATGCCAACGTCATCATAAAGCCGTCCCTCCATTTCCTAACCTGAGCTTCCAAACACCGTTGTTCCAAGTGTGACTTACATGAGCCATTTCTAGTGAAGAAGACGGCCGCAAATTCTCCCCTTTTGCAAAGACTCCCTGGGAAAGAGCAAAACGAAATAGGCTAGTGACAGCTCGGGCCGGGCAGTGTCAGCGCGTCCCTCCCCATCGCCGGGCCCCGGGAACCCGTGGGGCCGCCCGGGCGCAGGCTCGCAGGCCGGGGCCAGAGTCACCGGGTCTGAGCCCGGAGCGCAGGCTCGGGCGGAGCCCGGGGCAAAGGTGGGACGCCAGGGGCGGTACCGACAGCAGGGTTCCGGTCACCTCTGAACGCGCACGGGAGCCCGCGGGCGGAACCGTCCGTACCAGTCACCGGAGGGGCTCCGCGCCCAGGCCCGCTTCCCGTCCACTGCCAAGATGGCCGCCGCCACCGTCGCGACGGAGCCGCTGGGGACGCCCAGGCCCGAGGAGTCGCCTCCGAGCGCATCGATGCTGCCTGTCGATCTCCGAGCAGATGATGCTCGCAGGGCTCCAGAAGGTGAGCTGGTGTCTTGCGTTAACAGGTGGGCGGATCAAGGCCTGAGGGCCCTCGCTGGGAAGATTTAAAAGGACTCAGTGCCAGTGTCTGGGACCAATGTTCGGTGAATCTTTGCTTCTTTGACTCACAGGTACCTTTGACAGATTTTTGTTGTTGTTTTTAATTTTTTTTTTTAGGTTTAAAAAATATTTTATGTGGGGCGGTGGTCATGCACGCCTTTAATCCCACACTCCTTGCTCTGGAGTATGCCTTTCTTTTGGAATGTCTCCCCTTTTCTTAACTCTCATACATCACGTCAAGTATCTTTATGAGATCTCAACTCTGCTTCATACTGGCTTGTTCTGAAAGCCACAAATCCTGGGTTGGCCTGAGTCAAGGTCCCTCAAGAATTAGGGGAACTCCTCAGACCCGCGAGGGCAGTACAGTAGAGCTGTCCCTTTCACTTTGGTCACACTCATTGCTGACAGGATAAGCCACTGTTTCTTGGAGTAGTTGCTTTTTAATACTGAAAATTTATGACTCTATCAATCCTACATTCATTGGACTTAGACTGAGATTTGCAGTTGAAGAAAAACTGCTTTCCCAGAGGAAAAGTTGCTACACAGCAAAAACAAACAAACAAACAAACAAAAAACAAGAAAGAGGTAGAGACTGTCTTTCTCTTTTGGGACTTAAGATGCTAGGCTCTTCAGAGAAAGAAAACACAGAACAGCTCCAGGGAAGTTGGCGATATCAAACTTATATGTTACAAGCAACATGCAATGAAGTCCACATTTGAGGAGGGAATTCTAGATTACTTTTTAAATTTTAAATTTGTCCACAAATTTCTAGTTTGAATCTCTTAGCCACCCCTGCTGGTCATTTTCTAGAAAGATACTGTGGTTGTACAGATAGATACGCACTGACACTACACATATTGTTTGGATTCTTAAACTTTCTGGTTGGGTCATATGGGCAAATTATTTAGTCTCTTTATGTTTTAGCTTTCTCCCTTCTAAGTGGGCACACTACTATGTATCGCAGAATATTTGTGAGAATTAAGTTCACACACACACACAAAGAGAGAGAGAGAGAGAGAGAGAGAGAGAGAGAGAGAGAGAGAGAGAGAGGCGAGAGAGCGCTTGCAGTGGGGTGGAACACAGAAGGCTTCAGAGAAGAGAACCCTGACTTGAGTTAAAGGTATTTTCTTTTTTTTATTGATATTTATTGAACTCTACTTTTTTTCTCTGCTCCCCTCTCTGTCTCTCCCCTCCCCTTTGAACCCTTCCCCAAGGTCCCCATGCTCCCAGTTTACTCAGGATATCTTGTCTTTTTCTACTTTCTACTTCCCATGTAGATTAGATCTATGTAAGTCTCTCTTAGTGTCCTTATTGTTGTCTAAGTTCTCTGGGATTATGGTTTGTAGGCTGGTTTTCTTTGCTTTTTGTTTAAAAATCAAGTGTCTTCCGGCATGTGTAGGCACATATATGTGTCTGGGGTCTGATGAGGCCAGAACTTTTACTTGATTCCAATAAAATAAGGATAGTCATAAAAAATTTAAAAGAAAGATCTACCACAGCTTTGTGATTTGTCTCGATCGCAGAGCTCAGCTATTGAAAACCCATCCTTTGCCTTGCCTGCACGGAAGCTCCAGAAACTCTCTAGTATTTAATACAATGCGTGCTTTAGCTGCTTTTAGAAAACCCACAGTTGACCTGGGAGCATCTTGTATGTTCTAGTCTGCTTAGGACAGCCGGCAGCACAGGAGTGCCATAAAGAAATCACAGTGGATGGTATACTGTTGGTACACACGGAAGAGAGCCCTTGCTCTAATGTTTGCTTGTTTGTTTTTTATGTTTGCGACTTGCGAACCTAACGTGGGTTTTAATTGTCACCTTAGCTATTGACTGTCCCATGTATGCCTGTGACGGTTAATATCAACTTACCAGGCTCTAGAGTCACCTACGTGATGGCCTCTGTCTGCGCATATCTAGAGGAAATGTGCATTTTGCCAGCCCCACTATGTATGCATTAGCTACTTTGCTCATTGCTATGATAAAGAAGCTGACAAACGCAACTTAAAGAGACCAAGAGTATCCTTTGGCTCTTTCAGTTTGAAGGTTACCATCCATCTAGCAGAGTAGTGGAGTCCTGTGCCGAACAAGAATCCATGACCACTGTGGAGACTTAGTAGGATTCAGTGTAGGCCAGAGGTGCAATACGCACTGCGAACACCAGCTGTCGCTGCTCTATAATATAAAAAGCCATCGAGTGGTAGCCAGGGAGAACTGATGTTAAGAACATTTTCCAGTTGTGAAGTGTCAAGTTTTAGGTAGACATGAGTTCCACGTTAAACCAATTTGGATTATCCTGATCTTTTAAAAAAGATACTTCTGAGATATAAACGGGCTGCAAAAAATCAATGGTAGAGATAGATATGTTGGTTCAACAGGAAAAAGTTGGAAAAAATCTCATTGTACTGGGAACAAAAAAGCAAACACTTTCAGTTTAAAACTCAAACTGGATCCTGCAGACAGAAAGTAAGCAAAGGGCGCCAGAGTGTACCTTTGATTCCTGGCCTTAGACCACAGTGCTCATCTCCAGGTGTGGGCTCCGTGTCTTTGGTAGCATCCACATGAACTCTGTCTCCCTGTGCAGATGCTGAGATATCATAGGTATAGGGCGTACCGAGATAACGGGATTTAGCCCTGACTTTTCCATTCAGCTCCATATGGCACACAGTGATGACTCTGTGATTTCCCTGAGCGTTGACACTCTGAAGCCAATATGACTATCCTAAATGCTATGTGCTTTCTCATTGACAAAGCACCAAATATGTGCCAAGTGCGTGGGTGCTCAGGAGGTCATGACTTTGCTTTTCTATTAATTTTTGCTACCCCACAAATATACCATTTGGACCTATAAAAGTGATTGATTCTGCTAGGAGCCTACTTATTTTTTACAGGTAGGTCTTTTGTTCCACTCCATATGAGATCGTCCAATGAAATTATTGGACATTCATTGAAATTCGATAAGGAATGAAAACCTGTTAAAGTGGAGGTTTCTCTATATGGTATAGGACAAGCTGGTAAATCTCATCCCAGGATGAACTAAGAATGCTGCCCAGGTTCCCGTTTCTGTGCCAGGCTCATCTAATTGCTTAAAGCTGCTGTTCTGCCTGCTGTGTGTGGGCAGGGTCGGACCTGAAAATGGGAAGGGTTGTCTGAAAAATGCTTTGAGAGAAGTGCTATCTGAAAGCCTGCCATCTTCAGATATCTTTACAATTCCCGACTAGAAATACCCCCGCTGTACCCTGTACTGTGTTGAGGGCGTTTCTTCATGAGCATGTCTCTCTGTCTCGCGTTGTGGATGTGGTGGGAAAAGGGAAACGGTGAATCTTCAAAGTGAAAAAAATGTAAAGCTATTTAAATTTCGGTATACAAACTGTGACAAATAGGGACTGCTTTCAAGTTAGGGTTCCTGCTTCAAATAAAGCTACTAATATAAACCGTTTTTTTTTTAAAGGTATTAGAAGATGGCTCAGTAGGTAAAATACATGTTGTGTAAGCATCAGGACCAAGGTTCAGTCTCCCAGCACCCACACAAAAAGCCTGCCTTGTTGTTGTATCCCTGTAATTCCAGTTCTGGGAGGCAGAGACAAAAGGATCCACACGGACTTCTGTACAATCTGTCCAGCTACACACACACACACACACACACACACACACACACACACACACAGAGAGAGAGAGAGAGAGAAAGAGAGAGAGAGAGAGAGAGAGAGAGAGAGAGAGAGAGAGAGAGAGAGAGAGAGAGGAGAAAGTGGAGAAAAGGAATGATGAGTATTTGATAGCTATCCCTGCCTGTGGAGAAGATTACGGTATTAAAATACTTGAAAATACTCGATCACGTAGAGCGTATAAATCCGGAGCTACACATTCACAGATGCGCCCCCGAGGTAGGACGGGAAAGCGCGAGGAGTCCTCTTGATGTAGAATGTGCGGAAGGGGCAGTCTAACAGGAAACCCTTGCCCGCAATTAACAACGTCTGCTGGGACTCACACGATTCTGGCCACTAGGTGTCGCCAAATGACTTAGAATGTGTGGCGACTCCGCTGAGCTTGTGGCTGCAGACCCGGTTCCTGTTAACATAGCCCTTCAATTTATGGTAAAATGCGCTTTCAGCTGGGATCTTATGAATGTTCGGTGGAGACAGGAGCCATTTCAGAATCACTCCTGGGGATTCCCGTTTCTTGTTTCTTTGTCTTCCGTTTTAGCACTGATAACTTCACGTCTGTGCAGAAGAGTTAATTAGTCTCATCAGGCGTAAGCTTGATTCCAGTGTCCGAATTGAGATTCAGAGACAGCGAAGTTGTTTAATTGGCCGTCAGGGCTATTAGAAAGATCCCGGGGAGCAGAGGAACATTGCCGTGAGGTGATCTGAGCCAAGCACAAGGGTACTGATATACCTCTAGGGCTGTGTGCTCCTGTCATGGAGAACATTCTCTAATTTGCTGGTAATTTGCAATGGGGATATCCCATGACCACACCAAAGGCCTGGTAACTTGTCATTTGAACCCAGCAGGCCCTTCATTGGCCCACGAAGAGTATCAACAAGTATGCTATTCCTTGTAAAAAGCTTCTGATACTTGTGTGATTTGTTGCTCTTTGGTGGAAGCAGCAATAAATGTTTATCAATTGCTGAAGTAGGGTTTTGGCTTTTAAAAACGAACAAGAATAGACCAGGTAGAGTCTAATTCATTTTTTTTTTCCTGACGGCATTTTGTGTTCTAAAGAGATGACATACAGATCAGATGATCTTTGAACCCTTTTCCCTATTGTTTTGGGCATCCCATGTAATCCCATTAATATTTCTGCCCTCACTCTGTCTACATACTAAAATATAATGAGTTGGATAACCTTTGTGCTGCAGCTTTGGGTGCCTCTTATCCACTTTACACGTTTGGCTTTATCTTCAGCTTTCGTTAGCGTTTCCTGTCCATAGCCAACCTGAGTGCATACCTACACACGAGTCTCTCTCTTGCTATTACCAGCCTGCATGTCCTCTGTTCTTCCTTTACCTAAGTAATCATGACTTTTTAAAAAATTGAGCTCCAAGTCGTTTCCTCCAAGAAGGTATGTCACACATCT